CAGTGACACCAAACAAGGCCAGAAGAGCTACAACCATCATCAATACAAATCTCTGCAGTGTAGAGAGAGCATTGATTACTGCATTAATCTATACCTGCTCTGTGCAATGCTAAAGAAGCTCTCTGCCGAAACCATCCTTAATGGTTTCAGGAGACACGAATTAACCAGCTCATGAGGCAAGATACCAAAAATACTGTTTGTTCCCCATGGAGATTGGAAAAATAAATGTTTCCTCCACTGCTACCTGACACAGAGCAATGCAATGCAGAAGCACAAAAATCAATGTAATCCATAATAACGCTGCAGCCATTCTTTCTGTTCAGTAGAGTTAGACTGAATTTTACTGAATTTAAACATGGGCACAGCACAAAATAAAATCTGAGCACCATTAATTCATTGGACGTGAGCCAAGTTTTGCAACTTGAAGAAGAGAGAAGAAACACAACCTCCTGAAGGGTTCCTCTCAGGCTGCCTGATGCAAAGGCAAGAGCTGCACATTTTGGACTGGGCTAAAGGTATGCATTTGCTGGACGCCTCTCCAAACTGCTGGCCATGGCAGGCCTTGGGCAAGTGCAAAAGTTTATGCTGTCCATACTCTGCTTTTTGGGGACTTTGAGGGCATTTCTGTGTACAGAGAAAAGGTGAGCAGTAAGACGTCCAAGGAGACCTTTGCCTCTTGTCCTCGTTGCTTTGCCTGATGGACTTAGCCCAGTCTAGCTTGCTCTGCCCTGCCACTCCTCACAGCAGCAAACAATGGTTAAGATAATCTAGATGTTACAGCAGAATTATTACTGTCTTTCCATCAATTCCATTTCTTTGCCAAGTTTAGGAAGGCCCTGCTCCCTTGGGTTCTCTGGCTCATTCATCTACCCTTGGCCCTGTATTTACCACTTGTTTTCCTCTGCTGCCTCCAACACCACAGCACCCATCTGCAACTACTCCCCAACTATTTCTATCACTCTGCTTGGCCTCCTTCCTTCACTGCCTTTCATGTTCCCGCCTGGGAATACCACTAATCCAACCAAGAAAGAGCTCTTTTATAGTTGTAACAGTTGCTCTCTTATTCCCTGTAATTCCTCATTGTTAACTAAAACCTGACCTCCCCCACACAACACACACCCCAACACTAGCCTGGACACCAGTGGAGGTTCAATCTGATCCAAAAGGAATTCACCCCCAGCTCTTTTTGGAGTCACTTCCGGTCTCTGACTGATCTGCTGTAGGATTGTCTCTCCTCTCTTGCCATGACCTTTTCTTTTCAATAGAAAAGAATGTGACCTTTGCATATCATCTCTGCCTTCAACCACCTCCCTGCTTCCATGAGAGGTGGTTGAAGGCCTATCGGTGAGCGTGTTCAAGGTAGGCATGTCATGAGTGGAGCCAGCTGGAGCCGGGGGTCAGACTAGATCACCCAGGAGGTCCTTTCTGACTCGCTCTGTTTCTATGTTTGTTTCTATGTATCTCTAACCACTGTGTGTCTCACCTCTTCTGGGACCGTCAATGGATCAGTGCTGTAGCACTGTTAAGTTGCACTCTCCATCCAAATCTTCGTCGTAACTATTCACTCATCAGATGCCATCCCTCGCTCTTGCTTTTTCACGGATCTGACCCCACTGTCCCTCTGGCCTTTGCATCCCACACAGGCCTATCTGTTCTGTATTTAAACTGACCGCCTAAGCACAGTGACATCAACAAAAAGATGGAAAATCTGAATTCACACCCTCCCCTTTCAACTTCCTGGTCAACCAAACTGCTATGCCCTCCTTACCCATACCATCCTCGCTACCTTTGACACTCTCTTAAGTCATGTATTTTTCCTGCACTTTTCTTGCTTTCCACCCAGGACCTGAACACCTCCTTCAAAGTCACAATTGAAAGTGACTGCCACAATCTGCCTGCTACACCCTTTCCTGTGCCCTTCCCCAACTATCTTGACCTCTTCCCAAAATGGGAAAGATAGACACATTCTTGTACTCATCTCTTTCTATTATGTGACCCATTAAACTCTGCCTTCTTCTGACTTACTTTGCCAAACTTACCAAGAAAGCAGTTAGGCTGCCCTAGGTAGCAAAGGGTGGAATGGCGCCACAGCAGTCTGCCAGTCTGTCTGAATCCCCTAAGCCAGCTTGCTGCCCCAGGTATGGTGGAGGGAGCTGCCCTGGCACTACATTGAGGAAAGGGCTTACTGCCAATCTAGTGGTATTCTAGGTGTGCAAGAGGCAGGAGGCACCCTCTTCTCCTTTGCCTCAGGCAGCAAAATGTTTTGGGCTGGCCCTGTTCTCACCTCCAAAGTTGTTTCCAACCTCTACCTCATCAACCTGCTCTTCTTATCTGCCTCATTTTTCACCACATGCAAGCAAAGAGAGGGGGAAGGGAGAGAGAGATCGAGATCCCCTAAATCCTTCTCATGTCAAAGTACCACCCATTCTCTCTTCTACCCTCTGCCTCCAAATTCCTGCAATGAGCCATTCACTCTCACTGCCTCAGCATTTTGTCTTAACAGTCTACAATTTGATTAGTATCCACAGCCATCCACTGAAACTTTTCTCTCCAAAATTACAAAATTACCAAGAACATCTAGAGCCACCCATTTTGCTCCTTAGAACTTTGTGCTCTCACTGCAAATCTTTTGGTATGGTTGTCCACGTATATGGGCATCCCTAGCACTAGTTTTATACCACCATAGTGAAGTTTTCCTATGAAGTTGCTCTTTATTCCAAAAAAACAAAAACAAAAAAACCACTAGGAAGGGAAACAGAGAACTTTTTGTTGCGTCCTCATCATTCATTATGTAAGTTTTTTCAGGTTCTTTGGGTGATATTGTAGCCCTCCAATTTACCTTCTCCTTTTTAGAGCACTTTCATGTTTGTGGGTGGGGATAGTGGAAAAATGGAGTATTGTGAAAGAAAATATATTTTCCTTAGCTGTGTTATACTTCTACAGCACAGTTCCACCTAGAGTTAATGTAGTGGCAGATAAACATGAAAGGAAAATCCTGGTATGCAGAGCTCGGACCTGAATTCTATAACATCTCCTACTACACTCCACCTTTCTTCCTCTTCCAAGGTACCCAAGATGGCTTGCAAAGTTCTCCTCTCTATTTATCTTCACAACAGCAACTCTTTGAGGTAGGTTTGGCTGAGAGACTGACAAGCTGAGTAGGGACTAGAAGTCTGGTTGCCTGAGCACTCTTCATTATTACACCAGACTAGTTCCCCTGAAATGAATCTGAAAGCAGATACCATGAATTAGCAATTTTCCTATGGAAAATCTGGTGGTCTCTGATCTCAACTGGGAGCACAAGTAGGTCAAAATCACTTGTTTCTGTCCAAGTGGTTCAATACCCCCATGCCACCTAGAGGTAATGCAGCAAAAAAGGGAAAAGGTGTTTGTATATTGCTCAGATCTCAATGCTATTGCTACTTTGTGAGGAAACATAACTTTAGATTTGCTGTTCTAAATGTAATTTTTCATAAATTTATCAATTAAATAATACACATCAGCATTAAAGTTAGATATTTTTAACAAGTAATGACTTATGACTGTCTCCATTCTTGGCATATGCCTGCTGTTTATAAGTAAACTTTTTTGTATTGTGCACAATATTGTATTTTAATCTTTGTAAACATCCCAGAGAGCTTGGCAATTGGGCACTACAGAAAAGTAATAAATGAAATCAAGGAACTTCACATGAAGAAAGAGTCACCCCCATACAAGTTTGCAGGTTCCCCTGAATCAGGAAACTGCAAAAACACAGTCATGACATATATTTTATTTATTAGTAATATTTATATAACATTTAATAAAATATCTAGGTAACAGGTTTCCATGCATAGGTTTCCACGGGGGCTAGAATCCTGCACAATCATTTCAAAGTTTACCAGAAACCAAAGGATATTTAAAATACAAGATCACTGTAACACTCTCAGGGTAGCACATCTAAAGTCCTTCAATGGACTGGTTCATGCAGCTGACTCAAACTAAACAAAAATACTATGGTCAAGTTATATTTATTATCATCATATGATATGTATATCCAGTTTTTGTTCATTTTACAAAGAACCCAGGTGGCTTACATAAACATGCAAGTTTTTGTAGGGTTCTGTATGTCTAAAGAGGATGTTTGATTATTAGGAATGCTGTAATAGTGATCTCTCTCCCCCTGCCACAACATACCCTAAAAAAGACATCCACAATAATGAAAGGCAAATTTTATATTATCTAGACTAATCAGTTGTTGCCTTGTGCTTTTCTGTCCAAGTGGTTCAATCACGTGAACAGGAAGGAGAGCAAAGAGGGCTGAACGGACCATCCTCGGCCTACCTGCACTACACAGCAGTGCTTTTCTCCTTCTTTTGACCTCATCTGCCCCTACAGAAAACAAATGGCAGATTTTATATAATATTTAATACTTCTCTAATATTGTGACATGACCTAATCCCTATCATAATTTTCTAGGCTAAGCTATGATTAGGCTTGTGATAGCACAAATCAAAGAAGTCCTGACAATACAGGGCAATATTTGTATGTGTTCTTCTAAGGCCACAGGAAAGAGAGGTGTACAAGAGTCTGTATGTACCCATAGATTGTTGAAGTTAGTGAGGTCATTGCTTTTGTTAATTGAAGAAATATGATTTGCTGAAAAATATGACTCCCAAAACTGTCACACAGAAAGACACAAGATAGATATCTGCTGGGTTCAGGGCTTGAACCTCTGTTCCTCTGACACTGCTCCTCTCACCTCTGTTCTGGGGCAGGCTGGGTTCCAAGGGCTGGCTCCCAGGAGTGGGCACCCCCTGTGAAGAGACTACATTGGCTCACCCTCTGCTCTTCTTCAATTTGTTGGCAAAGTCATTTTTATTTAAGCAGCTCTTCGACATGGGAACTGTTCCTTTGCTATTCTTTTGGGTTAGCTGCTCGCTTGCTCTCTCTCTCGCTCTGTGTGTGTGTGTGTGTGTGTGTGTGTGTGTGTGTGTGTGTGTGTTTAATGTAGATTGTTGTTTTTCCTCCATTGAGCTTTGAATCTATTTGGTGATGGTTTAACTAAATTTATTTTACTCTTATTTTTATTATTGCTAGCCATCTTGTGTGCCATTCTTTGGGTGGAAAGTTGGTTCAATCAATCTTCCCATCTAATAATATGTGCTACTGTCACAGCCAGTACTCCTTCCGAGTCAAAAGTACAAAGACAAAAATACAAATGTACCAGGCAGGCTCTATTCCCCATCTCATCCAGTGTTTCGTACTGAATTCACAAAAATGGTCTCAGGATTAACTTGTGTCAAATAATAAAGAGGGATACAAAAACTACTAAAGTCCTATAATTTACATGTGACAGATAATATACAATAACCTAGACAAACTATTTTTAAAAATATATTGCCATCTTCATCAGAATTGTTCGTTCATGCAGTATTTCTAACCCATAACAAACTATAAGCTTACTATCCTCGTATTCAATACAAACAAACTAGAAGTTACTATGTCAGTTGATAAAAAATAACCCCTTTCTTAATTCTGAGGGCATTCTCCCAATATGACTTTCCTTATATTGAATTTTGCAGATTCATAAGCATGAATGTGCATGCATTGCACTGCATAAAAATAGAAAGTCGGAAGAATTTAAAACTACTGTTAGAAATTATGTATCAAATACAGCTCTAGCCTGATAAAGATTTTATGAAATTTGGCAATGAATTAACAGATGTTTCTGGAACTGTAGATAAAATATTCAGTAGCTAAAGTATGTGGAAAATGAGTGTTCAAACTTACATTACACAGACTCCATCTAGTGGCTAATTTAGTATAAAATTTATCAAAATCACATGGATTAAATTTAGTTAACCTCTCCCTTTTGCGGTTGTAAGGACACACATATGCAATGACTGGATTAGGATGAAGTGACAAACCACCACAGTTTGTTACCATAGGTGGGTTGCCATGTCATGCAAACAGGGACCACTTCAACAACTGTTGCTTGTCCTTTCAAACAAGCCACCCTGAGTTGTCCACAGGCTGTTCTTGAGTCACTGTCTCCATGGTGGCTTGTGTCATCCAAACCTAATAGCATGATCCGCTATGCAGGAGACTTGACAGCCAATGAGTCCCTTGGCAAGGACGGCAAAAACAAGACAAGACAAAACAGTCTGTGCTCTGTCCAAGTGTCTGCTGGTTGACTGCCGTTGCCAGCCACCCCTAAAATGCCAAATTGGCACTTTGAGGATGGTTAGCACAGGCAGCATCCTCACCCCACTGTGATTACTAGCCAATTAGGGCTGGTATTTTTTTTAAATGGAGGGATCTTAAAAGTCAGCTGGAGAGCTAACATTTGCAAACTCTTTAATGGACAGGCACAAACTCCCCTTCAAGGTGCATTGCAGAACCTTGGAGGGGTTTCCTATGGTTACCCAGTTTTATTCATTTACTTATTTCTTCTAATTGTTCCCCTTTGTAGCTGGGCTTGTTCCCTGAAGTGCAAAAGAGGCAAATTCCAGCCAAGGCTTAGAGAATATTGCGAAGGGATACCAAGACATCCCCCTGCCCCTGCCTTCAATGGCTACTTTATAGAAGGTGAGCTGACCATTGGAAACAAAGACTCTGGGGTTCTTCTGCCAAGAAGGGATGCCTCTCACAGCAAGGGCCCCCTTCCCAATAGGTGGTGCACCTTCTACTAGCTGGCCATTGAAAGCAAGAAGGGAGGGATTTCTAGCCTTGACTGGGACACTGGATGAGTACATATAAATACAAACTGCAAGCAAGCAGCAGGACCACCTCTGCACACTCTTCCATTTTGACCCTGTCACAGGTCAGGAACAATTAAAAATGCATTGCATCCATTTGCAGGCATAAAAATTAATAAGAAATAGAGGGAGGGCACAGGCAGCCCCTCCAAGGTGCCACAAGGTATCTTGAAAGGGCAGGAAGGGATAGTGAAACCCAGCTCTACAGATAGTGTTTGCCACCTTGTTGGAAAAATGTAAAGGAACTATTGCAGCAAGCCAAAATTGGTTTATGATCAGGGCAGTCAGAGAAAGGAGATTCATTCTTCTTTGTGGTGTTTGCTGGGATAGCACCTAAAAATGAGAGGGAAGGGTGAGGAGGGAGTGAAGTACCCATGATGAGACCAATCATCTGCAAGGGCCATCTTGGGTACTCTGCAAAACAATGAGTCCACCATGAGTTTCTGCTAGGATGGGTTATCATTGTCCTGAAAACTACCCCAATAACTGGCTTCATTTCTAACACCAGTTCCACAATGGAAGAACTGTTTCTCTTCCTCTCTCTCTCATTTGCTCTCTCTCTGTATGTAAGATAAATAAAAAGTGTACATTATGAAAGGAAAGTACACATCTGGATCAAATATTAATGTCAACAATAAAATGATTGCATTAAAATACCCTATCAATTCAAGCATTAAAAATGCATTTCACTCTTTGCCCTGATATTGTATGCATCTCTCTGAGCAGTAAATGGAACGTTGGGAAAATGGGACATCTGCCTAGTTTTCTGGTCAATTCAGTTGTGGACTGTTTTACACATAATACTAAACCATTGTGGTTTAAAATAAACTCTGTTTTCTTAAACATCCCAGATTCATAATTGCCAATTAGAAGTTTAGCTTCCTTGGGCACTTGTTAGATTTTACCTGAAACCACATTTGCTGATGAGTACTAATGACAAACCAGGAACTGGGGAAAGTTAAATCGATTCATGCCTTAGACCTGCTCCTGGTTGTGCATAAAAAGAGAAACAGAAGGGAGAACTTGAGTCTAAGGCTTGGGTTGGACTCATCCAAGCTTATGCATATAATGTTAAATCATGATTTAGTATTACATGTGGAGAAGGCTACATGTGAACTACAGTGAGGAAATAAACATTTTTGTTATACCTGTATCAATCATTTAAAAATATGAAACACTTAACAACTTCCTGATTTAAAATATTACCTCCCTTACTTCAAGAGGTATTAACAAGATAATAACTATTAATGTTTCTGCAGGCTTTTCCACAGGACAAAGTCAAGCGTGTTCCAACCACCAGGGTGGCAGAATGCTAAGCTTCCCTCCCTCTCCAAAGTTAGCCAAGCACGTAAAGGTTGGGTAGGCAGGGGTTTTTGTTTTTTTTTTTAGAAAGCAACATTCAAAAAAATTACTGGGCAAATTTAGATCATTGGTGCAATACATCAAATTATTTCAAGTACTTATTTAAAAAGGGAAAACATTTCTATGGCCTGAAATATGAACCTTCACTTTTACTTCATATAGTGCATTAGCATTAGCTGTCTAATTTGGTGGGGTAGCATTAACTGCCCCATTCATCTGTGTTATGTTTTATAGAAGACTTGGTCATCATTTACAAAGGCACAAAATGTACAGACAAAAGTATACATAAAATGCATATACTTCAAGATGATTTATAGCTGGAAAACCAATGATAAAAATATCCTGCTATGCTATGTTCTTAGTGTCAACAAGCAGCAATATGGAATTAATGATTTGGCTTGATAAGCATGATGTTGCAACCTTTATTTTCCTATAACCTCTTGCCCTGGCCCCATAGTTTCTCCCTCATAGTTTCTCCCTTCTTTGCTTCAGTCCCTTCTAGGAGAATCAGGAGAAATCAAGTAGGGAAATCAACACAGCACAACACTCCTTAATTTCCTCATGCAGAATTGGATTTAATAGCCTTAACTCCAGCATCTCTCCTGCTCAGACACTACCTCTAGCAGTCTGGCCTGTCTTTCAGCCTGGTCACCAACAGGGGAAAGCTGATCTTGGTGGAAGGGAAGAAAACAGCAGCTCTGGCACTGTAGCAATTCCATGTTGGATAGGACTGATCCAACTAGACTCTTGTTCCGTCTATAACACTTGTTTCAAAACCTAAGGAGATCTACAACTCCCATCAACCCTGACAAAAATGAGACTGTTATCCATCCACCATATTTGGATAGGCGTCAGTTGCCTGTGCTCTCGTAACTTCCAAGCTGGTTTGCTGCAATGTGCTCTTCACAGGGCTGTTTCCCCACCACTCCAACCAGCCAGTTGGAAAGATGGACCACCCAGTAAGTTCAGATCTAAGCTGAAAGTCCAAACAGCTAAGACCCATGAGAGCTCTGTCAGCAATGAGAACACCTTTCAAGAAGGAAAGCAAGCTGGCCTCTTTTCATCTTCTAGCTAATTTGGCCCTATTCTGGTTGTCTTTACTGGATTGGGGTCCTGCTTCTCAGTTAAGTTGTTGCTGTACCCAGGAGGAGAGCTGCCCCAGGATCACTGGAAACATGGGTCAGGTGAGGCCTTTATTTACTACCCAAGAAGCAGAGTGGCAATGCCCCAGCCAAGTAATGAGTTTGCTGACTCTCTCCAAACTTCGGTCATTGATTTATCTCACTATGACACGCGGCACACAGAGATAGAGATTCAGAAAAGAGGCATATGTTAAAAATGTATTGTTTTAACCCAACCAGCAAATTGGGGGGAAGATGAAGGAAAGAAGCGATGGCTCTCTTGCTTCTTGCCTTCCTTTCTTTGTTACCCAAATCAGTTACAAGTTGGGACAGGTTACAGTGTGTTCCCCACAACACAGGCAGTGGCCTGCCCTCTGTTCCTTTGAAATGTTCTCATCATAACAGAGTGTGACAAAGAGCAGCGAGAACTTGAAGAACAAGCTATTTTATTCAGCTAGATAGCAATTTGTTTCATTTCATCTGTTCTGCCACAGGTTTAATGTCCTATCTGAAGAACTGACAAAGAGAAAGAACAGATTTGAAATACTTATGGCATGACCTAAACCAGATTCCATTGAGTTTAGATACTTTGTGTAGACCTGCTGCAATTATGTAGCATCAGTAAATACTGTGTTTTTCTGGTTTCTCTATTTCATACTGCTTCTCTGCTCTAAAATCACTGATCAAAAGGACAATTACAAGTCATTACAAGCACACTATAGCTGTTTAATATAACAAATGCAAAATGACCACCTATACTGTTGGGAATGAGTCAGGTTCAGTGTAAACAGAATAGCTAAGTCCACAATTGTTAAACATTGTGATGCTATCTGTGGTTGCCAAACAGGAGGGTAAAATCGTAAACCTTATAAAGATGGCAAAGACAGGTCAATGGGAACAAGACATGCATTTTGATGAATGGTCCTGGTCATCTAACACAACAATGCTACAATGAACATTAATATAAAGGATGTTTTAGGCTCATTCTGTATGTGTATGTGTGTGTGAGCTGTAAGAATGAATACAGAGGAATTACATGGAAAGTAACCCCTTGGTGTAGAAGTGTTCTTTCAGAACTGGCCCTTGTTGAAATGGTGTCTGGAATTTTCTCTGAGGAAATCCAGAACATATCTGTGCTCAGTCTAAGATGGACTTGCTGAATCTCTTGGAGATAACAGGGTGGATGGTGGACACCAAGGCAAATGAAAGATAAAAGTTATTTAGTTCTTTGCCAAATATGGTATTTTATTTTTTTTAATGCTGGCTTCTTGAGCAAGCACGAAACCCGTAGCTGACTTCAGAGATTTGTCTCTTCCTTCTTTCCCTTTCCGAAAAAAAATGGAAAGGTATAGATCTTCACATCAAAAATTGCTTTCTCGCCATAAATACAACAGAGGTTTCTTTCCTTCCAAAGGGAAATTCTGTTCCAGTACAATTTTTACAGCATTCTGTTTGTTCAAATGCTTGCCCCGAACACTCAGAATCATGCTGTGTTTGAACTCAGACAGTTCAATGGGACATATTTCTTAGTAAGTGTGCAGAGAATTATAGCCACAGTTTATCACATGGGAAGTTCATGGTTATCTTAAGCTAGTCAAGCCAGAATAAGAATCTGAGAGCAAATAAACCAAATACGTCATGTTGGAGTTTGAGACAAAATATCTTAACAGTATCTCTCACACATTATTGTATGATGTTTGTAAGTTAAAAAGGCTATTATGCTGCTCAAGGATGCTGCCTCATCTTCTCCAAGTGCACTGTCAGTCCAGTGTGAAAGACAGACACCTTGAACAAACACTCCATTCTAAATACACCATGCAGAATTTCTTCTACTTTGTGGATATGGGTATAGCTGGGAGTGTTACTTTCTTTTCTTGTGGCTGGAATGGATCATGGCCATTGTGTAGAAATCATTGGAGACTACATCCAAGAATATGTTTAGACAAGGTCAGAATTCCCATAGATCAATTATTCAGTTTTTATTGTAACATGCTTATTTATCTACTTGGTCCTCCCCTGAAAAGCTGTACAATGTGATTTATACAAGATGCAAACATCACTATACACTTCCAGTCTCCAGCTGTTGTTCCCAAGATGAATAGACTAGGATGACACATATTATAACTAGTAGGTGTCTCCTTATCCCTCTAACTCTGGTTATTCTGTACTGGGGCAACACACAGGAATGTAAGATGGGAAGCTGAGATTGAATGCGATTTCCTATTGAGAATGTACTACCTGGTAAATCCAGGGCTGAAGCCACATAATGTGGGAAGTCATCTCTTCAAGCCAAACTGAACACATTATATGTAGTTTTGCCATTTTTGTTCCTGAGCATTTTCATCCCCACTAAGGAGAAGCAGCTGTTGGGTGGAAGGTGGGGAGAGAAAGGTAAGGTAAATGGGGAGGGAAAGGTAAGGTAAATGGCTGCCTCATAGTTTCCCTGTCAGTCATTGCCCTGTTCAAAATAATAATCCCCCTCCACAAGTTGTTTTCCCATTAGTAAGTGCCTGCATGTATGTGTGGGGGAGAAAAGGATCCCCAGATCTTTTCCTTCATAGGAAAGAAGTACTCTGGCACCAACTGCTGTTCGGAAGGGGAAGTGGAAAGCAAAAATCCTGCTGGACATACCCTGGACATGCCTTGCTTTCTGGATTGTAGTACAAGTCAGTCAAAATGAATTCAACAAATAATGTGTGCATGCAGTACATTTTATTTTTCAGCCATTCTGCTTTTAATTTGATAAAGAAAGCAAGGATATGTATCTTAAAAATAAAGCCATTTCAAGCCTACTCTGTGGGATTTAAAAATACATGACTTTGACTGGATTGTACCTTGAATATTCTGCAAGTATCAAATCCATTGACCAATGGGAGAAAGCTAAGCACGTGCTTAACTCTCCCAATTCAGTGGGACTTGCAACACAACCATGTGCCAATCTACTTAAAAGTATATCTAACTGAATTGAGTCCCACTTAGTTCTAGGTGCCAGACTGAAACTTTCAGAAAGTATGTTGGTTCTACAACTTCTTTGTTATACCAGTACCTACATCTCCAACATGAAGCTCAGAGCTGGGCAGAAGAATCCCCACAGCTGTTTTAGCAGTGACTTGCTTAAGGCCACGCAGGGAACTGCTGATCAAAATGGGGGACTGAACCTGGACCCCCCATATTCTTGCCCAGTAGCTGAGTCACTCTGCCACACCAATCCTAACACTCTCTGCCATCTAGCCCACATCCAAAATTAACTTCAAAGGGGAAGGAAAATGTGGGGAGTGGTCCTGGCAATGGATGGCATGGGAGAGAAGCCATTCTGAAACTATCTATCCATCATAGCTGATATGTATAATTTATGGGCTGTAGCCCATATGAGAGAAAACTTATTGAAATGATTGGGACTGAAACTGGACTGACACTGCATACAACTCATTTATGTCTTCCCATAAAACACCATGGTGAAAAAACCATAAACAGAACACAACCTGCCCTGCTTTGGATAATTGCATTAAACTGTGATAGTAAAGGCATGTTTGGCTTGAATATTTCCCATACATAATATATGCACATATTTAAATCTTTGTAAAAAAATAAACTTACCTTTTTCACTGACACTTTCACTTTCTATTTCCACATCATCACAACTGGTATATTCAGGTGTTGATGCTCCTTCTTCCTCAGAGCTGCTGACTGACATTTGTCTTTTCTTTCCACCTCGTCTCGATCTATGAGGCTTTGGAGGAGATGGTCGCACTGATTCTGACTGGTCAGAACTAAGGGAATCATTCCTTAGCATGGTCTCCATTTTTTCCCGCTTTGCTTTCCGATTGAGAATAGCAGAGCTAGGATCTAGGCGACTCTGTGTTTTAAAGGAATCGTGGTTTTTGGATTCTAAGTGCTCCGTAGGAACCACACTATGCCTGGGAGTTGGTGGGCTATGGTTACCTAATTGTTTAGAGACGGAAATTCTTACATCACCTGTTCTTTCTATCGTGTATGGTCTCTGAGCATCCGGGTGAGATTTTATGTCCTGAGTTCCTTGCAATGGTGAGTGCTTCCCTATTTTATTATCGGGCACCTCCGGTTCCTCAACTTCTGTATGAGGCAAGGCAACATCGCTGTGTCTTCTTTCATGCCGCACTTTTGAAACCTTTGCATGCATGCGCATCTGTTGTTCCTCAGGATGGGGCTTTACAGGATACCTTGCCAGATTTGGATCACTCCTGTATCGAGTGTGATACTCATCTTCTTTCTTTTGCTTTTCTTCATCTACCGCTTTGCCTTCCTCAAAATCTGGTGGAAAGTCTGAATAGTCCTGAGACCTCCCTTTCTCTAATCTTCTACCATCATGTCTTTCTTTTGATCCCCTCTCCTCTGTTTGTCCTTCACCCTGCTGAAGTGAGGATTTGGGCACACGTTTGCGCTCACCTTTTAGACCACCTTTTCCATTCTGTTCAGAACCGGTGGTTGTCTTTTTCCTGATGTGAAGATTGGGGGCAAGGGGAGAGAAATGAGAAGACAAATCACACAAAGCAAGTGGTCAAGCCAATTTTGTGCAAATGGTGTCACACTAGATACCAAAAAAAGAAAGAAAAAGAAAAAAGCAGAGTAGGAAAATTGGAAACCTCCTTATACTGAGTTAACCGATCTAGCTCAGTATTATCTAGACCAATCTTCCCAAATTTGGAAGCCTCCAAATGTTTAAGACTACCTCTCCCAGCAGTCCTGATCATTGCCCAGTCTGGGGGAGGCTGATGGGAACTGAAGTCCATAACACTTAAAGAGCATAAGGTTAAGAAAGCCTTGTCCAGAGTGACTAGAACAAATTTCCCCTCCCTTGCCTGGAAAAGCCAGGGATGAACTCAAATAACCTGCATATGCCAGGGTTGTTGGGGGGCAGGGGACAACTGGGGCCAGTTGTTTCAACCCTCCCCCAAAGCAAAAGAGCCTGCCCCAGCCCCACAACACTGTTCCCCAGAGCACCAATAAGATATGGATCATTGTAAGGGGCAACAGAAGGGACCACGGTGTCTGTCCCAAGCCCTCTGTGAAGCCCTAGGGCTAGGGCCAGGGCCAGGGCCAGGGCCAGGGCCAGCATCAAAAGTAGGCACAGCTCAGCACCTGCCAAGGTCCCCACTGGCAAGAGCCCCTCCTCATCTTGACTTGTTCCTCCTCATCTCTCTTGTATCCCAGCTGGTCATCTGCCTCTTGCTCTGGCCAGACAATGGTGGTGGTTCAAAGGAGGAACAGCAGATGCCCTGCCTTCACACTTACTGGCTCTCTGCCTGGCAAGCAAAGAAGTGGGGTCCATTATGAAAAAGAGGGGGAGGAGCAAGGACTGCTAATGACAATGGCAGTGAGAAGGCAGACTTGAGCAATGGCCCCAGAAACCCTGGTGCTGGCAATGCCTGGCATAGCAAACACGTGCTGTACCTTCCCACCAAACTCCTCTTTCATAGAAACCACAGAAAAGATTAAAGAAAGGGTTGGGGTTTTTCTTTACACTCATTAATATTTATACTCATTAACCATCATCATTGTCTTTTGAAAAAGGCATATGCTGAAATAAACCCAATAAAGCTGTGTTCATTAATCTCTGAATTCCTGTTGCTTTTGTAAGTTCAAAGTTCCTTTAGAGAATGAGTTTAAAAAAGAACTTAGGAACAGTTTGGTTATTCAACAGTTCATTCAGGATCAGACATTATGCATCAAACTACCAGTGCCAATATGTCTGCTGTCTTATCCATATGAACAAATGAACTCCGCTTCTTCTTTCAGAAACATATAGTATGCTTAATAAAAGGCATGCCATTGTTTCACATAACAAGATTCATATATCTTCACTACATGAATATGGCTCTGACCATATGAAATTTTAAAGTGAGAATCACATCTCAAACAATCTGTGAAAGAAGTTGTAATGACATTCTGGAAACTAATATTGGTTTGCAGCTTATAATGTTGGGGGTCTGAAGCATGAAAATGTTCACTGTTGATCAGAAACCAATGTTCTTCAGTCAGCTTATGGCCTAATTAAGATGCACTTGACTGCAGTTACACATAAGCCAAGACAATTGATCTAACAACTCTCCCACCTTGCCTTAGCTCCACTTGAGCAACTGGGTCTTCCAAGAACTCTATCATCTTCCCTCTTACAAAAGAACATCAAGTTCCTGGCAAGCTTACCACCATCTACATAGTGGCTGAATTCCAAGGAAGTAATATGAACAGGCAGGACAAAATAGAACATCCCAAAATATTGTTTCTTGTTGTCATTGATGGAGTTTCCACTAGTCCTAGGCCAAAATATTTGACTCAGAGATTTTTGTATGTTTTGAAGAGTGGGGAAAATGTCCTTCAAAGATATAATGAATTGTCAGGGGATGGGAAAATTCTGCAGGTGTTGGTGTTCCTTAAAAGGTTGCCAAGGGTTTTTCTTATATGAGCAGTGCCAAGCTTCTTTAGGTGGAGAAATAAAGAGGGACTCTTGACCACCTCTGTGTTAAAGGTAAGAACCATGCCCCTGCTATCCAATTCTTAGAATTTACCTATCGTTCCCAAGACCTGCTGAATTTCCTTCCTGCTCTTAAGCAAAGTGTGTGCATGCGTGTGATACTGACCCTGGCATTAGTTTTCACCAAAAACAGATGCCATGTGATGTTTCTTTTAAAGGCTGCACAGCAAAAAGCAGCAACAGAATACGCTAACATTTGCATGGTTGTTTTCTGAGTACCTATGTCCCTTCTCTTGATCCCATAGAGTATATATAAAAATGAATTGATTAATCAGCTTGCTTAACTTATTTTAAGATATCTGACAGAACAAGGTGGTGATTAATTGGTCAATATTATTTTTAATAATATTATTAAAACTGGAGCATATTAAAAGCCTGTAGATGACATATACAGTCTTGTATGTCTTAGAGAACTTACGGCTAATGGCCAATATTAAAATGCCAATAAATTCTCTGTGCTCCGCCAGAGAATGACCAAAGCACTCTTGGAACTTTTATATTTACAACAACAGCCTCCACTGGTTAGGATTATAACTGTCATGTCTTCCTACAGTTACATGGGCAAGGTCCATTGGTTTCAGCATTACCTTTCTTTGGGGGGTTCACTTCGAGATCTTGATGAGGTTTGCTTCTGTTCCAGGCCCATAGCTTGCTGCGATACCTCTGTGCCTTTCCTTCTGTCCGTTTGTACACTGGAGGAAATATCCTGTGGAGCAGCAGTGACAGCTGTGCTTAGGGGTGTTTGAGATCTTGATCGTTCTTGCAGCCTTGCCTTCTTTTCCCTCGGTGACTCTGAACCACCTCCCGTAGCTGTATCACTCAGAGTTCCATCCTGACTGGACGGCTGTTGTGGGCCACTTCCAAAAAACCACGCTCCAGATTTTGTTAGGATCTCTTGTTGCTTTCGGCATAAGTTGCATACCCACATAACCTGATTATAAAGAAAAACAAGAGTCTGAGTATCCTTCAGTGCTGTTTTGCCTAAATGAAGAAGACACGCAGACTAGCTTTGTGATGTCCGTGCTAGTGCTCCTCCCCCAGGCATGCTTCTGGAGGGCACTACTCTAGCTTGCCATACCCAAACATAAGACAAGTATGCGTTTCCCCTTGGCTGCACCAAGAGTCAGTGCGCTTTAGTCATTAGACTACAACTGGGGCTATTTACCGCTTGGCCAAGAAGGCAAGTGTTTGAACTTAGGCCAAGCATAATCTCAGCCTAACTTGGGAGAAATAGGGGAATGAGGAAGTGAAGAGAGAACGTACTGAAGAAGAAGATCAAATCCTCATACTGCCAGAATGAGTATAAGCTCTCAGGAAGATTGAAAAGCAAGCTCACATTCTTTTCCTAAGCCATTATCACCAGGTTTTTAAAAATACAAATTCTTTCAGTCATAGTGGACAACAGTAACATACATTCAGGCCAGATGCTGACACTGAAGATTGTGCAGTGATCAAGGCAGTGGTAAAGCAGCTGCTTTACATACTGGAGGTCCCAGGTTTAATCCAGGGCATCTCCAATTTGAAAAGAAAGACATGATCAGGTATCAGATGATGGGAATGACCTCTGCCAGGCAGTCAACAGCAATAGATGAACAGACAGTCTGATATGGCTTAAAACAGCTTCCTCTGCTGCCCCCGGGTGTGCGGGAAGAAGGGTGATGCGAAATTATAATGAAGAAGAGGAAGAGGAAGACGAAGAAGAGTGAATTAAATAACTCTGTAGCTGTCTAAGTCCCTACACTAAACAAGAGTTACAAAATGCTGCGAGGATTTAAAAATGCAGACAGATTTTACGAGGAGAGTAAGAAAGCACTGTTCATCTGTGATGTCAACTGAAGCTGAACTTTGGGTTATAAAACAGCTTTTCTCACATGCATTGACAATTCTTAAATAAACAAGAAAACATAGATTACCGCATGTTTGTTACATCACACATCAAATACCATATGTATCAAAAATAAATTAGTGATTTAAGTTGAGTATGTTCCCATAATTTTGTGACAATTTTTCTGAAGCCTAAGAATTCTGATTACAACTATCTAAACACAATCCTGACTATATTATGGTAAACTTCATTTAGGGAGAAGAAACAAGGCCTTGCCTTACTCTAATCTCAAGACACTGAAGAAGATCAAATATTCATACTGTCAGAATGAGTACATGCTCTCAGGAAGATCGAAAAGCAAGCCAGCATTCTTTTCTAGGCTATTATCACTTGATTTTTTTTTTTAAAAATACAAATTCTTTCAGTCATACTAGACAACAGTAATGTACATTAAGGTCAGATGCTGGCCCTAAAGACTGTGCAGTGATCAAAGCAGTCAGAGCTAGATAAGAGATAATACAGCCAAAGAGATAATAAATGAAGCCTGTAAGAGATCATAGAGCCAAAAGGATGTTAAAAAGCAATTCTAGGCACAGTTACTTGGAAGTAAGACTAGTTAAAAATAAGAGACACTTGCTTCTCAGTAAACATGATTATGTTCAGGCTGTTGGCAAAATAAGGTACATAAAAATTAACAGAAAAAGGAGACTTCTAAGAAAGAATTTAAAAAAATACATCATAGATATCATAAACTTAGAAAAGGGATAACAATTGCTTTGATATGCACAACTGCAAAACTCAAAAAGAAAATACATTGTAATTTGAGTAATAAAGATATTAACATAGGTAGTCCAATAAGAAAGGTATGAGATAAAGAACAGAAAATGAAATATACTGATAATAGCACAAAACAGTACAATAGTAGTCTGCAAAACACTACTACTTCCCACCAAATATTCCAAAATACATAGTTCAGGTTCAATATATTTTAGCAATAATGGAAAGGAATAATCTTGCAAAAGTCCTTGCAAGAAGTAGTTTGCAAGACAGGAGTCCTGCCTTTGTCAAGGAATGACAAATAACTGTGGTGTGCATACTAATATCAAATTGGGAGTAAAAGATACGTAAGGAATGATCATATGTAATCTTTAAGGGTCATAGAATAACATAAAACAATACTTATCAAAATAATCCCAAAATTGGTATGTGTGAGAGAGAGTGTAATAGACTGTTTGTTCATTGTTAGAAGATTTTCCCCCTTTATACATAAAAGAAGAAAGAATTTATAGTAAAACTAGCAAAACTATTTAATATAATAAATACTATTAACTTGATGAATAGGGAATTCGTCAAAAATGCATGCCAGGTGTAAACAGATTTGGTTATACTTAAAAATTAAAAAAAAATAAGTCTGACAGTATCAACAGGAAGTAAGCAAAAACATTCCTGATTATTATCTTTTTTTCTTTCTTTCATCCTTCCTTCTTTTTGTTAGTGACTTTGAAATGTATTGTGAAAACTGAAAGTTTCTAAAGCTTTGCAAAAGAACCCCCCAACCCACAAAAAATATAAGTTAACACTCCTCTGTTCAAAAGTTCATGCAAAATCAAAATGAAAATTTATATGCAAATAGTTGCTGGATATTCCATATCTGTGAACAGATATAGGATCCATCTATACCTTTTAGCCAATATTTGTATAAAATCTGATGGCTCAGAAAAAGATTAAAAGAGTCCAACTAGTTCTGTGAAAAATTGGGAGTTATGCCACTGACATTTTTACGAACCATACTGTAGGTAAAAGTTTCCCAAAATTCCCAAGCTCATTACTAGGGAGCAATGTAGTTGATATGGTTCTAGTTAAAACTAGCAAATTGAAACAAACGATCCTTTGTTATATTCTTTCTAGGGCTTGTATGCTATATGAAATAAAACTCAAAACTTTTGAAAATCAAAATCCAACAAATTTAATAATCAGTAAACTATTATTAAGGAATAAGATGTAATGTTAATGCAAAACATTCATAACCTTATTTCCAATATATCATGGAAGGACACTACTGAACACCATTTCTTCTAAAACAACATCTGTGAAACAAGCACAACCTTAACAACTAAGCATTTCCGTGTGAATTTCATTGTTATATACATCCATAGCTTCTCACTGTAATTATTTCTTAAGGGCAATACAAGGTATCCTAAATAACCATGGCAGAAGTATATATGTGTGCGTGTGCACACACACACACACACACGCACGTGCACACACACACACGCACACACACAAATACATATGAAAATGCTGTACCTCCAGCACTCATTCAGAGCAATTAAGTGGAAAATGTATGCACACATACACATTCCATGGATCATATATGAAGTAAATCCACATGATACTCACACAGAGGCTATGCTACCATTTCTGTTTAGGATTCTCCTCAAAGCTTAGCTGATACATGCTAGGTTAGCTTTCAGCTGTAATAACTCCAATGGGAAGGGGGTGGGTAGAGACAAAAACCCTTCTTCGAATGGGGGAAAAATAAGCCTTGAAGTGATGTAACAGTTTCGGTGAGAAAGCTGCTTATTGAAAAATATTTTGTAGGGAAGAATGTGGAGCAAGCAATCTAGCAGCATGCAGGAATTATACCCTGATTGAAAATACTGGGCCACGGTCCAAACTAATCTAAACTAAAGCAGGTCTGTGTAATAACTTATTTTAACAATCCACAGATGTTAAGCAACCAGCAAACACACTGATGAAGGATTACAGTCGTTTAATGTGCGTCTGGACCTCCACGCAATGCACCAGGAACTTGAGGAAATATCCTGTGTTAGGAGTAATTAGGATATGCAGAAATCCCCCATCCTTTCTCACATAACATTAGAAATGTATGTGCACCTCAAGTGTGCATGCTATTCTCAAGTGTGTCTTGATGCAGCATTTCAATTTAAGTTACCAATAGTTTTACTGTATAGGTGCATGAATCACATTAACACTTGCATATATTACAATTTTAGAGCTAAGCTTGCTTGCACTGTCTGAAGTCCAAACAGCCTGCATTCAGCTGGACAAACAGTGCTCATTTTCACATAGTGTAACCATTCTGTGCTTTTTCATACCACAGCTAAACTTGAAACTACTGTGTGACACATCTATACTAAAAATACATCATAAAAAGGAAGACAAGCACACAGGATCCCATCTGTGTGGATCAGGGATGCCCACACAGATCCATTTAAAAACACTGAGGTAGTGGGAACATGCTTCAGAACAGTAAAGGCACCCCATGCTTGCCCTCATGTGAACAGTTTCATTCACAACATATACAAGCCTCACACTTACTGTCTGTGGCCCTTCCAAGAGTGGTCCATAGCCAGCAGATACATTATTCCTGTACTAACACAATATGAAAGCAAAACTTGAAATAGCTTGTATTGATATTAATAAAGCATGCTATTTGCCATAACTTTGCATTTATATTTTTAAATTTTAAGTGCTCCCTACTCATACAATGAAGAAAAAAAAACATATCCTTAAGCAATTCCCATTTTTATTAGGCAAGAGACTCTAAATCTGGTGAGAATCCCATGGGACTCTAGACTACAACTCCCACGAAGCCTGACCTGTTTGGTGGGGCTAAGGAAGTTGGGGCTCTGCATCATCTGGATTTCCCAGCTCCCCCAATCCCAGTCTAGTGAAGGTAAAGGCCAGTTCATACTCTTGTCTGCTCAAGAACTTTGTAACTGTGATGATGAAAATGCATGCATAGGTTAGCACTGGTCACTTTCAGATAACTGTATCCTGGTTTAATAGGCAAAACATAAATGGACCTCTTGACTGGGTACACTGAAGATGTGTTCATTCATTCAAGGAAAGAATGAAGACCAAGTTTTCAACCAGTTAGAGTTTCAACCAAAGCAAGAAACTATAGTTTCCAATTTGGAAGAAACTGGGATAATAAACCACATTTTGAAATTGTTCCAAATAAACCATGCTAGCAAACCATGTTTTGCCTTGATCTAAAAACTGAAAGCATGTCTTCCCAGTTTCCACCATGAAGAGGAAAGTCATGCTGAACACATGATTGATTGGAATCTCCAATG